TTAAGGCCTAGTGCTCTTGCTTAGCTTTTTCACTCAAAGCTGGTCCCTGGGGAGTGAGGAAACAAAAGACACTATATGAAAGGAAATGTACTCTTTGCCTGACTCATGTGATTATAACTTCTCTGTACATCCCTTTATAGTAACAATAAAGTAAATTTATTTATTTATGTATTTTTTGGTTGTGGGGCTTGAACTCTGGGCCTGAGCGCTGTCTCTCAGCTCTTCAGCTCAAGGGGAGCGCTCAACCACTTAAGCTACAGCACCACTTCCAGTTTTCTAGTTTGTTTTGTTTTTAAAAAAATAGTTGGTCCTCCACCCATGAGCCACACAGAATTTTACTGGCCTGTTCGAGATAAGAGTATCTTTGATTTGTCTGCCGGTGCTGGCTTCCTACTAGGATACTAAGATCTCAGATTCTGGAGTAGCTGGGATTGCAGGCATGGACCACTAGTGTCTTGTAGTTTAGTTTAATTTGTCCCTGAAAAAAATCAGAGGCACTTAGTTAAAATTATCACCACAGGATAGATGAGGGGTTTCCTCAACTTCCCTGTTCCATGCAAAATCTCAGGTCCTTGAGATGGCATTTATGGAGAAAAAAAAAAAATCAGCCGGACACCAGTGGTGCAAGCCAGTAATCTTAGCTACTCTGGAGGTTGAGATCTGAAGGTAATGGTTCCAAGCCACCCCAGGTAGGGGAAGTCCCTGAGACTCTTGCCTCCAATTTACCACCAAAAAGCTGAAGTGGAGCAGTGGATCAAGTAGTAAGCACTAGCCTTGAGTACAAAAGCTCAGGGACAACACCTAAGCTTTGATTTGAGGTTCTGAGACTGGGGGAGAACGGGTTGGAGAAGGAGATGAAGGGGGAGAACACTGTGGGGAGAGGAGAGAGGAGAAAAGGCGAGAGAGAAAATCACATGTGAAAAGTTTAGCAAGGATTTAGTAAAGGATTTAGTTAAAATTGGGAGAAATAGAAATATTTCCTGCTTCCCATGCAGGAAAAGGGAATTAAAAAGATTCAAAATGGTAGTTCTTATATGTAGATTAGACCTTGTTTATGGGTGAGTAAAATGGTGAGGCCCACCCAAAACACTAACTTTCAGGCTTTCTTTTTGTATATCCTGTCATTCTGTCTACCTATTTATATACATTTTTACCATTTTAAAGTGTTACTATTAACATAGAGTTAATTTATCACACATAGCATGATTTTATTATGGTAAAATTTGGAAAAAATCAACACAGAGAACATTAAATAATAGTATCATACTAAAATACTTTCAGTCATTGAAATGATCAATCCGAATACAATATTTAACTTTAGAGTGATAATCACAATAAATTATTAAGTAAGGAATAGAGCCAATTATATGATTGTATTGTGTTACAAACATGATGTGAATGTAGAAAAATAGAAAACTATAAAAGTGGTTGTTTTATGGATATGAAGTCTTTAGATATTTATATAATCTTTGCCCTTTTTAGTAACTTAATTTTTGGATACTTAAGCGTTAGCAAGGATTTCTTTTAGTTTTTGTGTTTTTTTAAATTGAATTTTATTGTGAAGGTGATGTACAGAGAGGTTACAGTTACATACGTAAGGTAATGAGTACTCTTTTCAAGCATTGTTACCCCGCCCTCATTTTTCTCCCACTTTCTGCCCCCATTGCCCCCTCCCAAGTTTTAAAGCTCATTTCCAACTTAGTGTCTTGAGAGTCGCTGTTGCATTGGTTCTCGCTTTGTCCTTTGCCTCCCCATTTAGTTGTTCCCCTTCCCTTCCCTAATTGATAAATGTATATACAAGACACAGGGGTACCCAAAGCAAATACAGGGACCACGGGATACACTAAAGGGGGAAAAAATGAAAGAAAAAAGAAATAACATCACACAATACATTAAAAACAACACTACCAAAAAAAAAAACCCCTCCATATCTTGGAGTGCATTTTGCTTAGCATCATCTTATATAGTCATATGTACATAGCTATTGAGCTATTGTGATCTTCTAGGACAACCCTAGACATAATTATTACAGATGAGGAAAACCATGGAGTCTATGTTTCTTTGAGTCTGGCTTCACAATATTTTTTCCAAGTCTTTCCATTTCCTTACAAATGGGGTGATGTCATTCTTTCTGATGGAAGCCTAGAATCCCATTGTGAGTGTATGTGTATACACACACACACACCACATTTTCTTTTTTTT